GGAAGAACATACGCAGCTGCCATGTTAGAGGCGCTATGTTGACGGCAATCTGGCTTTCAGTTCAGCACAGCCACATGTTTTATTCGATAGGGTACTTGAACAATGCACGTACCAACTTGCCTGTCACCTCCGAGATAGAGCGCGACTAACCGTCTACCATTCTCTTTCATCCTTATCAGCCGAAGAAAGGAGGTACGAGTTTAGAAATCTGTCTACCGAAAGACATTGTCTCCTGACCAGTAACTACATTTTACCAGATTCTTACGCATAATGCACGAACGGACACACGCGATGTCCTTAGTCGTGCAACGTGACTTGTTCAATGGACTATCTAAACACTGAGTTGGACCACGCAGATGTCGGAGGAATTTTCTCGAAGATTTGTGGGAAAGCACGTTCAACCACCAAGGTCAGCAGAATTGGTGCAGGAGGCAACCAAGAAGATTTTACATCATATTACCTTTCAAAGACCATATTACCACTTGACACCATGTACCACTAGGTGCTTGATCGCTGCTGCAGCTAGGACGTACATTGCTGGCTCAAGTTGTAGTCATCGACGAAACCAGAAATTTGTCGGTACCTCAGCCGAAGAAAGCTTTGCCAACCGGCTTAACAATGTTGCCAACAGCGGCCTCCTTATTGATCCTATGGACTCCGAGTGATAGCACAGGTGGAGGTGCCTCCAAACAGTGATAGAGTTGCGAGCGTGGCCAGTTGGTAAGTCAAAATTGGGAGCGGAAGGCGGTTCATTCTATCAATCGATTTGGATTTGATGTCTTCTTGGCTGCAACCATGATGATGAGCTCAGTGTATAGCTCCACACGATGAGAAGCTAAGTGATTGTGCTGCAGGAACATCGGGATCCAAGGGTATAACTCGCTGTGGTCATGCGACCCCAAGATGCTGCAGAATTACGGCAGCACGTAGTATGGGTATGCAAACAAACAAGTACAACATCACCAAAGGACTAGTTTAACAAAGCAACTGCTGCATGGTTAATGGGGACCAAAACTTGATCACCGTCATAGTCTTGGTGCAAGTTAATGAACGGAGTGCTCGGTTTTAAAAGTTCACCTGCGCATCTTGTTAAGCCATCAATAATCACGTAAACAAACCACTTTGTTTATCTCGATGCATTCCAATACCGAAAGAAATATGTAGAGTCTGAGCGATAAGATGGTGCGCACACACTACACAGGTGCGTACAGCGACTGAAGTGTTGACTAGGTGCCGCGACAAATAGCATGAATTACTAGGTACGGCACAAAAAACAAACCCCCGTCAAAATTGGTCTTAGTGACAACAGATGAGTGTCACAGTTGTCACAGAGTCGTGCTAGTGAGCGGCACGTTTAGTACATACTCATCCCTTTTTAGTTCGCATTGCTTGAAATGTGAACACAGGAGCACTTATTCGTGTGGTACAGACGTTAGGGTGGACTAGACGCAGGTTGTGGTGATCAGTCCAACCTCCTTCGATCGGCGGTACACGGTGAGGCCGAACTTCTTCAATGTTTCCTGTGAATGTGAGAATACTTTCAGGTCGTCCAAGCTCAGACGAATCGATGTGCTTTGGCACATACTGAACGAATTGATCTTCACCAATGAAGGATAGCGAGTATGAAGTAGCAAGGTCCAGTTGCACTTCCGGTGACTGATTTAAACCATGAGCGGGAATCGATCAACTACTTGCGTACATTGTCAAAATAATGACGCACTGTCAACGTGTTTTCATACCATCGCAGCCCTTATTAACTTAGGCAAAGCACGGGAACTTCAGTATGAACGCACGGTGCCCTCTGATGCACGCCGTTGCATAAGCTAAGTTGCTATTTGCATCGGTCGCTTGGAATCTTTCAAAATATAATGTCCGCTAGCTATCATTGGCAGCTTGTCAAAGACTCAGTAGTCCTTGTTTTGATACCCTCTGTACTAATTACAGTTAAACGGACAAAAAGATTGATCAGCATCTCCATTCTGCCAACCCAGTTGCGAGCTATACGGAAAGACCAGACGTTTGCCAGTGATAGAATGCCTAAGTGTACCGATGGTGGGATCCAGAAGAATATCTAGGTAGCTTTGGAGTCTGTGCTTGTTGCATTGGCAACAGTAATCGGTTAGTTCAATAATGCATGAATACGCGGGTTAGTAGCTCTAGAGTAACTGGCTACACATCCACTTCGCGTAGATTCGTTTACGTGAGGCGGCAGTCTGGCGCTCGCAGCGAAACACCCCAGCTGCTTTGTGGTTCTCTCGGTCGCTGAGGTAGAATACCAGTGACCGGGTTGGATGTCATGTTGAGACATTCCATGGACCGAGTTCTCAAACCCAGTTGTCTCTTGTCACAATGGACAATGGTGACGATGAGAATAGTTATGGTAGTGATCAGATATAACTGATGAACCTTCTCTGGTAGCCATTTAAGTGACACGGGTCCGACAAGTACGTGGAATAATAGCAGTGTCTGGTAGCAAGTTCGAGTAATCACATTAAACAAGTTAGCCGGCAAACTCTCTACATGGATCCTCAACTTATTGAATGCACAAAGTCGAGAATAGATGACCAGCTGGGATAATTTTGGCTACGCGATATGTTACCGATGAGAAATTTGCGACGGTGTGCAATGAAGATAGCTGTCGCATCTGAATAATTCCAGGAGAACGGATCGTGTCTGGTTTGCTTGCATATAGCACTTGCAAAAGTGGACGTGTTACTAATGGAAGGGATAAACCAGAGAATAGGTTCTTTACTTGGAGACCGGATAAGAGCCACATGTGCTGCGGACCTATCTTGCGGATAGCCAATATCCTCAAATTACAAACAGAAATCTGATATTTTTGGTACAGATGATCCCAAACAAATACGCCGCCCCAGTTCACAGGCGACAAAGCGTTTCGCTGAAGTTTTGACTATTGTTACACTCGATAGTGGGAAGAATTAGTAATTGCAGGCCGATGGTAGCAAGCAAACATTCGAAGCTAAGCACTATCAGTGTGAAAAACCTGGCATGTGGGTGTGAATTAGCTACCACCGGATACCAATTACCTCGGGGAACCACGTAGATGTTTGTGTCTCATTAATTCCACAAATTGTAAATGCAAATGAAGCGCGAATCATTGCTGTGAAAAACCGCCTGAAGATCATTGTCCTTCGGCAATGCTTATCTATCTTAGGGGCATAATGATAGCACATTTGTTGGGTCGGAAGCCATGAAGGTCTGAACTGACCCACAGTCAACTGGGCGCTTGCGTCACTAGTTACTTGGGGGGGTTGGCCAGCGATAGAAGCTTCCTCCATGTATTGAACACAAGAACATGCAGTGGATAAGCAGTCCGAACCCTATTTGACATCACGTCAGCATAATTGCGTCATGCTTTTGTGACATGGGCCGCATTTCTCCGGTGTACTGCTCTTTTAAGAGGCGAAGTGGAATACTTTCCTAATGGAAACTCAGTGTCCAGTGCGTTGGGAAATTATGGTGCTGGGTATGTCTCAAGATTGTTGTAGATGAAAGCGGGCCCATGCGCGTGACTCTTCCTAGTGCTAAGCGCGATTCTTCGGTGCCTACTTAAATCTGCAACCGCTTTCCTCAATGTTTTAAATGTTCGATATACCATGTTTTATATGTAAGATTCGCATCACCAGATTCATCCGCCCTTGTCCGCCTTCAACCTTTCGGGTAGCTGGTATGATTTCATTCATTTCAGTCATTCAGCCATTCAGTTATCAACAGTACTGTGTTTCCGTTGATTATACGCCGCCGAACCACGATACCTCACCAATGATATTCACAGCGCCAAGCAGAGGAGACCCAAAATGAGACCTAAATGTCTGAAGCGAACACTCTGGAGCAGCGTGCCCACACGTTACGAGCAACCAAAGGTGGCAAACCGATGGTCGCCTTGTGAAGATAAGTCAGTATCGGGAAGAATATACCAGTGCTGCTTTCGCTGTCCACAGTTAAAATCAACAGCATCCAGACACATTTAAATAGATAGTCCAACCGCGAATACTTTACTGGTGTTGACCGAGGGTCATGTTTAACAATACCTCGAGACAGGGACTGGGCTGGTAACCTGAACCTGGTTCTAATTGGTGAGTTTGGTACAAGCCTTTTGTTCGCAACCTGACCTTTCCTATCTTGACTCCCGGTTTCTATGTGGGTTTGGGCACCGACGAACATCACGTTTTCGTTTCTGCATGTGAAGTGTGGGCCAGCTGTGCTGGTGTACTGTCGTTAAATGAAAGGTCTATGAAAAGGTGCAGTAACACGAAGCCACAGCACTGTACTGGTACACCGATTGCAATCTTTTTACTGCATCCTCTGCAGAAACATGGGCAGTGGCGGAACTGTTACGCCAGTTTATTTGCGTCACCTTAAGGAGCCGCATTGCTTATAGCTGATTAGGTGCATAAGTACTTGGGACACGGAATGTTTCACTGTGCATTAAATCTCAGTAAGGAATCAGCACCAATGACGGGGTAACTGAGCTACCACGAGGAGGCGCCACATTCTTTAGTCATGAGTGTGCAACACTGAATGTATACCGTCGTCCGCCCAAAACAGCACGACTGAGGAAGGGGGGCCACCGCTAATGGCACCAGTGAGGGAGTAGATGGTCCCCTAAATCTCGTGTTAACCGCTTATCATTCCAACCAGAACACATCCATACCGGCGAGCAGGCACAAACGGAACCGCGGGTGCGTTGATTGCTCGTACACCACGATTACAAAATCAGTATCGATTAACTAGTGAATGTGAAAACACACACAGCGGCAGCGGCCGTAACAGTTGACTTGGGTGATTGTGTGTGTGTGTGTGTGTGTGTGTGATACATTTTATGCGACATTTCTTTTGCGATCGCGTTGCAGTTACGACCAGTGACATAGGCCGAATACCACAGTTCAGGTCGTGAGTGTAAACGAACACTGCGCTGCACTGGCTCTCAAATACGTTAGACAATCAAACCGACACGCGTCGCATTGCTGAAAACTCACTTGAATTATCGGAAAACCAGAACCATCTCGGTCTTTCACTGCTCCTCTGCTGCCCTCCGTTTGGTAACGAGCACGATGTTGCTCTTCGGGTTGCTGCACAATGGTGATATAACAGTTGTAACGAGGGGAACGCTCAGGAAACCACTGATACGGAGATGGAAAATTCAGCATTTGCGAGATTCCAGCCGGAACAGCGTACAGTTTGGTACGGTTTGCGTCTACCTCGCCATTGGTCGGTTGCGTGGGCAGGGCCGAAGGTGAAGTTTGCTGGATGTAACTCATAGTAACATCTGACTGGGATGCAGGCTGTAACCATCTGTCGCCGGAGCAGTCCGAGAACGGGTGGCTACTCGGCCGGGCAGACGTGGAGGGTGAGCCATTCGCACCAGTAAAATCAGCTTTCAACACAGTAGAATACACAAGGGACAGTATGGAAAATGATGGTCGAACAAAATTATTAAAAATAAAAGCGCAAATAGCAAGATGTTATTGACACCTGTCATAGGAACTTGATTGAAGTTGGCAATGAAAGAATGGTCGAAGCAGAAGAACTTCGTCTATCCATAAAGCGACAAGTAAGAAACTACGTGTATTGCGGTCTGCCTATTTACTGCTGTGTAAAGTGGGTGGTGTTTAGGATTGGGCAGTCGACAGTTCATACAGCTACAGAATTAACAAACAAATTATGTCTTATGCTGCGGCATAGGTCCCAATTTTACAAGGGACAAACGATTGATACAGTAGGGATGGATCGTAACAGAGAGAACGACATGAGGATTTTTAAGTACCGTGAACATCATGCATGCTGCACGGTTAAAATCATACATGGAAAATAGACCAACAATCGCGACGTGGACTGTCTCATGGTCAACATGATTTTGAGGTATATTCTTGTGACATATTGTAGTAAAACAGTGAATCAGAAAAAGCGCTATATCAAAAGTTGGGCGGCAATGACAGGAGCAATGATGTTCAGTTAATTTATCGACTAGAAAAATATATATAAGCGTTACCTATGCCTGCTTTCGGATAAAATGAATCAATACGCAAACATCCCGGTTTAGAGTAAGTTTGTGATATATCTGTGAGAAACAACTGGCCAGAAATGTTCAGCAATCAGTTTCAAGGATGCATCTGTTGTGAGTAAAAGGACTGCGTTCAGTCGTGTTCTACACAATCCCTTGATTAGATGCGTTCCGCAGACAAAACTGGGACTTGTTCAGTTTTTTCAGTCAACGTTATGATAGTAAGAAGGTTTACAAAATGTGGGAAAAGAGAGGTTGGAATAAACAAATCCATGTGACCAAAAGGGAGTAAGAAGCGCCAAAGCCACCGGGAGAATTAGTCATAGGTTAAAATCAAGGGGTGGAATACCATGATCCCAGTGCATGAACAATGAACAATGAGTTTATACGGGTTAAAAAGCGTTGCTTTGCAAGTCTGGTTGGATATTTGGTGGGGATATCAACATAAATAATGATGATAAGGATAGTAACATATTTAATAATTTAAATATGAAAATGAGGACTTATCGTTTGCTCCGCTGTAGTCCTGCGAGTCTCATAGATTCACAGCACCCACAGTTAACAACAAATAATTCCAGGGTATACTCCAGGTGAAGGATGGAGACGTAGTGTTAAGTAACAAAGTGTAAGTGGATGAGTGCATCGTCCAACCGTCTTTGAAATACCGGTAGCGTCGGTGCAGAGACGACCGATTCTGGGAGAGCATTCCATGGGTGACAGACACGAATGGAAAAGAAATTTCTGCGGCACTCCAGACGACTGTATTGTTCTGCGAGTTTCAATGAGTGGTCCCTCAGGTTTGTATTGCTGCTGAGTTCTAGTAGAGGGCGGCACACATGATGTGGGTCTCGCAGAATCAAGTATGCCATAATCAGATCGCCTCGCAGTCTGTGATAGCTTCCACTGAACGCCCCAATCGTTGCAGCCTCTCCTGGTAGGAAAGGTTGCGCATTCCAACTACGTTCTTAGGTGCCCGGCGTTGTGGCTTCTCCAGTGCATTAAGGTCGTGTTTCAGCCATGGATGCCAGGCTTGAATTGCGTATTCGACATGGGGGCGAACATACGCAGTAAGCATTTGTCGAAATATGGAGCTGTTTATTTGTCCAAACGCCCGTCGCAACAGCCCGACGTGTTGGTTTCTGGTCTTGGAGGCCTTTTCGGATTGTCTGGAGTAACTCAAGTCATCTTGAACCAGGACACCCAAGTCACGTTCGAGAGTTGATTGTTGTAGTATTTTCGTTCCCAGCCGGTATGAGTAGCTGCCCTGCTGTCGGATAGAAAGCACCTTGCATTTACTGACGTTGAAATGCAATAGGTTTTGGGTGGACCATTGATCCACCGTATCTAGGTCACTCTAAAGCACATCTTGGTCGGCATTCGCCTGGATCCTGCGCCAGATCTTGATATCGTCGGCAAACATTAGGAAGTTTGAAGCGATTCCCTGTACAAGGTCATTAATAATCACCAAAAACAAACGTGGACCTAAAACGGAGCCTTTCGGCACTTCACACTCAACTTGTATGGGGTCTGATAAAGGACGCCGAACTCTGACCACTAATTGCCGTTGAAGTAGAAAGTTGGCGGTCCAGCTTAAATGAGGGTCGCCGTTTCCGTAACGCTGCAGCTTGGATAGTAGTATCCAATGGTCTAGACGATCGAAAGCCTTGGAAAAATCCAGGCAGATCACATCAACACCTTCTCCAGCGTCAGCTGCCTCAGTCCAACTACTGCGTGCAATTAGTAAATTCGTTGTACATGCTCGCTGTCGCCGGAAACCGTGTTGCTCAGGAGTGATGATGTTGCAGTTTTCCAGATAGCCCACCAGTACATCGGCAACTATGGATTCCATGACCTTGGAGAGTATAGGAAGAAGGGATACTGGGCGGTAGTTGGAGGGATCAGTTCTGCATCCCCTTTTGTGAATCGGGGTTATTATCTCAAGCTTCTACACGGCGGGAACTTGGTTCTGGTCTAAGCAGCGTTGGAAGAACTGAGCTATAGGTCCTGCTAGTTGGCTTGTTGCTGCTTCCAGTGCCTCTGGACGAATGGTGTCGACACCCGGTGAGCTGTGTTTGCGTAGAGATGTCAGCTTTTGTGATACAGCCTCCGCGGTAAAAGTGATGTGGGTTAGTTCTGGCAAGGAGAAGACAAATTTTGTTAGATCGCTTGGTGGCAAGACCATTTGAAACGTGGGGGCGTATTGCATCTACAGCGCGTCTGCTGCTTCCCCAGCTGTTCTTGCTGGGCCATCAGCCGTCCTGGGTGGAGGAAATCTATTATGTACGCCACATTTTTCCGGCATGTGTCAGCACCAGCTCATGAACTCATAATCCAGAATGACGGCGCTAACATAAATTTTCCCTTTGGTAGGTTCCCTTATGCTTATTTATCAATAATGCTTATATGCCGCTCTAGGGCTTTATCCCATTAGGTGCAGCGATTGCTTACAGGAGGAGGAAAGCAGGTGGGGGATGTTCAACATGTACTTTACTGAACCCCAAATTGCGGGAATCCGCACCATTGGCTCAGCACTGTCGCCTGGTCGCTGCGTCACTCTGAGGAACACTAGTAGTCAAAATGATCTAATTAAAACGTCGTCTATTCCAAGTGACCATGTCCGCGATTCACACTACTGCACGGTTTAGTCGCATCGTTGCTTGCCGTAAGTTTAAAATGGTGTGCAAGACCGTCTTCATAAATGCCAACATCTCGTTAAGTTGGCCTAAGTTCGGCATAGTGTTCCCTCAATAACTTGCCCATAAAAGATTAATTGAAGGCCTAAACAAACGCACCTGCCGCATACCCACAGTGAAGCTAATAAAGTTGGGATCGTCGATTCTAAAGACGCTGTCCGCATCCTGACAACATATAGCAAAGCCGGCCAGAAAGTCGAGTTATTAACGGGAGGTAGAACTCTCTCAATTCAGTAAACTGACCTGTCGCAGCGGTGTACTTTCTTGCCATTTTGTAAAATATACGATATGGTGTGTGTCAAACCGGTGAACTAACGAGCGATTTAGGACACTTTGATGTCTGTGGAATATGCCTCAAATTTCAGGGAAGCAACATTCCACTAGCCCAACCAACTCGCTTACTGGCATGGGCAGATCCGCTGAAGTGTGACGGTCTCTCTAGGTCGTTAGTGGTTTTGAAAGCATAGGAGCCCAAAGAAATAGAAGACGCAACAACGACAACTTATTGAATGGGGAAGGTGAATGGAGAAGACGGATTACGAGGGGTAAAAGTCCCCTGTGTTTGATCAACGTATAGCATGAAATAATTATTTTATCCAACATAGCACCTGAGTTCACGTAGTCCAACCCTTCAATGATGTACAAACAACCTCGTCTGATAAGCAAACACGAACTTTTCTAGAGTTATATGTTGGCTTGAGAAATTAGACCGTGGCGAATGCGCGTAGTGCCAACTTTCCAGCTGCTCAAATAGGCATCTACTAAGTAATAAACAAAATTGGAATTCTAACAATAATATATTGGCAGCAAAGCGTTTACACTGGCGTTGCTTGAATCGACGTTTTCAAAACATATGGGCTCGACCAGTATCGGGTGCGACAGTGATCCACATGTTAATGTTCGCGGACGACTGGACGTGTTGCACAAACCGCGTGTGATCTTGATCATTGATATTACCTTAGAAGACTATCGCATCCCTAGCTTTGCAGGGTGCGAGACAACTGCAAGTGATCCGGCCATACAGACAGATGTTTTGATTACGAAAAACTTATACACAAGCTGGTGGCCAGACACAAACCGATGCACTTAACCTGACAACGTTCGATGTAACACAAAACTTACGATTGTTTGGGTTACGCAAGACAACTTAAATGCTAAGTAAAGGCTTACTGACTAAGCCAACGTGATCATAGAGTTAAAACGAAGGAGGTGGACTTCTGAACAGTGCTTGAGATATAATGATGTTCCTAAGAGAAACGAGAAATAATTTGCGGGATCGGAAGTCAAAGATGTCCAGCCTTCTGAACTTTTGCTCTCGCGGTGGCCAAGCCCGCAAGGGAGACATAGTAGACCCGAGCGCACGGCAGTACAGTACGCCATGCTACTGACTGATAAGTTGACATCTTTTTGTTCAATCGGAAAGCCATGGCCTGAATGAATCCCATGGGATAGTGTTACATGCATATAAGCTTCGGTGCTTTGTTTAATCACCATAAATGACGGAGAAACCTAAGCAATTAAGCCATGCAGCCAAGTCAAACAGCTGTCGGGGAAAAAGAAGGTCGGGACTCGGTGGTGCAGCACTACGACGCTAATGTCTTCTCAAATGTGCAAAGCTCATTTCGAAGTGTAGGTACCGACATTATAGCACTTAATAGAGATTCTCCAGGGTTATGTTTA